GGAGTTTGGGGGAGAGAAAGAAAGACTTTGGCTGCTTTCCTTGTGTGCAGCCAAAAGCAGAAGAAGGAAGAAGCGGAAAAAAGCAGCCCGGTGGCCAGGCCAGGCGCGTGGGGTGCGTGGGGCAAGTCCTCCCCCTCTGCCCTTTTCCCCCTCCCCTCACTACCTCGTGTTGTTCACAATGCAAGCGACGCAAGCCTTGTGTTTCCGTGGGCCATGTGGGTGGCGCAGCCTTGTGTTCCCACGCAGCCTGGATTAATTGTTTTTTTTGGGGGGGGGGACATTTCTCTGCGGACCACCAAAATTTCCTTGTGGACCATCCGTGGTCTCCGATGACCTCCAAGGTCCCTTCCAACTCTATTCTGATTCTGACTATGGACACCTTAAGCCCTGTCAACCCAACTTCAGCCAACTGGTGCTAACTAATTCAATGCTGTAGAAAAAGCATTCTAACTTCTATATATACAGATAGTCCTTGACATGGCCACAATTTATGTTGCTAAGCGAGGCATTCATTATGTGCCCTGTGCCCCATTTTAAGACCTTTCTTGCCACTGTTGATAAGAGAATCACTGCAGTTATTCGGTCGTTAAATGAATCTGGGATTCCCCGTTGGCTTTGCTCGTCAGAAGGTCGCAAACAGGGATGGCGTCACTCCAGGATGCTGCGACCGTCATAAATAGGAGCCCGTTGCCAAGCGTGTGAATTTTGATCGCGTGACCACAGAGATTCTGCAATGGTGATAAGCATGGAAAATGCTCATAGGGCACTTTTTTTTTCTGTGCCGCTGTAACTTTGGACGGTCATTAAACGAACTGTTGTAAATAATTTGAAACTTAATAAAATTTCCAATAACGGTGTCAACTCATAAAATATTTCTAGGGTCTTTTTAGAGTTTCCAACAGAAAGGGACGGGGGGCAAAGGGGTTTGAAAGAGCAGCGCGGCAGCTTGGGAACCAAAAGTGCATTCCATAAATGTTTTCAAAGATAGTAACTAGGTGACTGAAGTTTCTGCTGCACAAAATTCTAACTGGAGAACATGATTGGTGACTCTGGGCTATGGAGGTGTCCCATTGGAGAATATGAATTATGATACACCAATGGGGGCGGGAGGAAAACCAGGGTCAAAGGTTACAGTGAATGATGTGTCTCAGAGTCGGCTACACCCAGGCAGTGCTGGCATGTTTACTTCTAATAAATTTTGGAAGTTCAGCTTGGGACTCCATGATTTAAATGGGGTTAAGCGCCAAAGCCTTGACAAACTGTACTGTAACTTGAAACTTATCAACCTCTCAAGTAGGCTAACCACAAGGAACATTGGAGTGACAAGACTAAACAAAAAAACAAACAAAATAGAAATCCCTGAGAAGGTAAATAAATATCAACGGTCACCATGAAATAGTTCAAATTTCTTAAGACATTGTAAGAGTGGGGGAAAAAAACCCACCAGCATTTGGAAGATATAAAAGAGCAGCATTAAAGAATGAAAGTCAAAGGAATGGGAGCATTTGATACGGGCGTTGAATTTTCTGCGTTCGATCCTAAGTGCGGGCAGATATTTCTCTGGGCACACTTGAGAACATACCTGCTGAACGAAAGCTCCGCCCTGGTGACAGGGAGAGCCTCCGGCCATTAAAACACTCAGCTCCATTCCATCGCCCAGACTCCACCCCACAAGGGATTATGAGGTCGTTAAAAGAGGATGCCTTCATTTTCTTTGAAGGACAAGATATATCCCTTGGGCATTTTCACTCACGGAGGTGTTTCCCGAGGTCCCAATGGGTTACCCGATGAGGGGAACCTTTATTGCAAAAAGGGAGGGGGGGGGGGGGGAGAGGGGAGAAGGACATTTTGGGGCGGATGGTTTCAATGCACCGATTTCTTGCACAGGCAGTTCATCTCCTCGCTGCAGGTGTTGGTGACCACCTTTCCGTTGCTAATTGCCACACAACATTCAGTGGGGATACAAGGCCTGGTTACGTGTATAGATCTGTCGAGAGATTTAAAAATAAATAAAGAAGAAGAAGAATTACTGATTTTTTTTTTAAAAAAAGGCTCCGTCAGGATTCCACCAGTCGGTCTTACTAAATCATGATTCTCGAACCAAACTTCGAAGGATTCATTCGAGGCGACATACCGGCCCTGCGCTGTATGAAGCCAACTCTGACATACGTCATTTACAGTCCCCTGTGATCCTGTTTCCCACTCCCCCCCCTTCTGGGTGTCATCAATCACGTTCTCCAATTAAATATATTCGCGGGCAAAAGCTGTGGGTAGTTTAGTTACAATCTTTTAAAGATAAAGAGTGGGAATGTACTTCCGCTTTCAAACTGCTCTTCCAGATTTCCTTCCTCCTCCCTCCTCCCCTTTTTATGGCAACCACTAAAACAGGCCTAGGAATGTTTTATGAGTTGACATTTGGCTCCTCTCACTTCTTCAAGAAGGTGACCTGTATTAAGCAAAAACAAATTGAGCGCAGATATAGAATTTAGATTTGCAAAACCACACACACACACACACACACACACACACACACACACACACGGCTTGGTTGGATTTTCTGCCTGGAATCTTGCTATAAGGCGATCGGCCTGGACGTTCCTACTCTTTACCCAAGATGCCTCTGGTAATGGGTAGCCCTTCCACTTGATTTACTGTCAGGATTCCAGCAATTGCTCCAATGAAATCACGATTCTCGAGACAAACTTCAAAAAAACTCCAAAGGATTCATTAGAGGCGACATACTGGCCCTGCCCTACAGGAAGCCAACTCTGGCCTATGTAATTTACAGCCACCTATGACCCTGTTTTCCCCCTCCCTCCTGGGTGTGTCATAAATCAGATTCTCCAACAGAGCACCTTCACAGGCTGGGTGTCATCAGTCACAGTCTCCAGTTAAATATATTCGCAGGCAAAAGCACTGGTAGTTTAGTTACAATCTTTTAAAGAGAAGAGTTGGAATGTACTTCCGCTTCCAAACTGCTGCACTGCCCTTCCGGATTTCCTTCCTCTCCCCTCCTTTTTTTTTATGGCAACTACTAAAACAGAACTAGGGATGTTTTATGAGTTGACAGCCTCATTACAGGCAGCCGTCTGCTTACAACTATTCATTTAGTGGCCGTTCAAAGCTCCAATGGCACTAACCAAAGTGATCGCCACGATTGTTAAGTTAGTCACATGGGGGTGAAGTGAATCTAGATGCCCCATTGACTTGGTTGATCAGTAGCGCACGAAATGTCACATGACCCCTGGATATGGCACCCGTCATAAATAGAGCCCATGGCCAAGCGTCGGAATTCAGATCAGGTTGATTGTGGGGATGCTGCAGCGGTCGTAAGGGTGAAAAACGGTCCTAAGTCACTTTTTTTTCAGTCTGGTTGTAGCTTCGGACACTAAGCAAATTTTTATAAGTCGAGGCCTGCCTTCCAGGTGCCACCTATCGTCAGCTGTTGTTTTAAAGCAGGATTTTTGGGGACTATCCTGGAGCCAGGATCTTTTGAAAAGATTCGAAAATATTTTAAAAAGATATTTTAAAG